TCTCAACATTACGATATAGAATAGGACAAAAGCCTGTCTGAGTCCTCTCTGTGTGGTCTACCACTTTTACACATGCTCCAGCTATATTTTTATTTCCATACTTTTGAATTACTTCTGTATAAAACAGTTTAAAATGACCCAAAGACGCAGGACTTTTATTATACAACTCTTAGACAAAATGGCGGATGACAACAGTTTCCAAGGTAGGATTGGTTAATAAAATGTTTAAGGTGGGGCTTAACAATGGTGCATTTGCATGCACATTTTAGATATCTATAAAGGAATTTTGACTAGTCACATTGTTAATTCCAGATATCTACATGGAAATTCTTCCTAGTCACAAAGCTAAATGCAGATATCTCCAAAGAAAGATCTTCCTTGGTCAAAAATCAGATTGAGATATCCATAATTAAATTGCAGATATCTTTAAATGAGTTTTGACTAGGAAGAATTCCAATTCAAGATATCTCTTATTAAGTTTTGCCTAGTCAAAAATCCAATTCAAGATATCTACAACTGTAATTTGACTAGTAATAAATTACTTTCAGATATCTACAAATGTATTTTGGATATCTTTAAGAAATCATGAATTAAAGATATCTGCAATATAATTATGACTAGTCAAACACCAGTAGAGATATCTTGGATTATAATTCTGACTAGTGTTAATTCAGTTAGAGATATCTCTAATTTAATTATCACTAGTAGAATTGTAATTTGAGATGTCTCTAATTAGAATTATGCCTAGTACAAAATCAATTATAGATATCTTTAATTACAATTTATACTAGTCAAAACTCTTTTGTAGATATCCGAAAATATTTTCCAATGGAAGTCAATGGAACAATATGACTAGTCGTAATAGCATTGTAGATATCTCGAATGTGTATTATGACTAGTCAAAATAACATTTTAGATATCTTCAATGCATATAATGACTAGTCATAATCACATTGTAGATATCTTAATTCCAATTACGACGAGTCAAAATTGCAGAATAGATATCTGGAATTGGAATTTTGACTAGTCAAAACTAAATTATGACTAGTACAGCAAGGAGTATTTAATGATAAGGTCCTGCGTCTTTGGGTCATTTTAAACTGTTTTATACAGAAGTAATTCAAAAGTATGGAAATAAAAATGTACTTGCCATAGTGACGCCCTATTGAAGATATCTATGATGTCATTACAGATATCTTAAATGGAGTTTTGACTAGTCATAAAGTATTTAGAGATATCTCTAATCCGATTTCTTACTACTGCAATTACAATTGCAGATATCTCTAATTGTCATTGTGACTAGTCAAATTATAATTATGACTTGTCAAAATACATTTGTTCCTATCTTAAATTATATTTATGGATAGTCAAAACAAACTTTTAAATGCTAAA